AGTGAAAGCTTTATGGTTAGAATTTTGATGATTGGATTGCATACTCTTGAAGGCCATCTTTATAACAATGAAAAAAAATTGACAAATATGTAATAAACTTGATGCCAATTCCTACCATTACGAGCTTTTTGTTTGATACTCAAATTGTGCTTTTGGGTTGATATTCAAACCTTTTTTGCATTCATTTTATTTTTTAATTTAACATAGATAAAGCACAAATAACAATATAAAATATCTTACAATAATATTATATTTCTCTTAATTCTGAATCTATATGTTGTATTTATTTCATCTTAAAAATAAAGTATAAAAAACTCTCCATAAAAATTGCACTTGAAATTGAATGCTTTATTTTGTATTAATTTTTCCAATAACATATAGATTGCATTTGGTAACTTAGATTTAAAATAATAGATTTGGATTTTAAAGTTAGTGAAAAAATATATGATAAAACATATGTAAATATCACATTAATTTATGATTATTTTTCAAATATAAAGATTGTTATATGTTATTGTAATATTATGTTTACTTAAGCAAGAATGCCATGATTGGTCTTCATTCAACCCAACTTTAGGATAAGACGATGGACATTTATCTCTAGCCTTTTAGGAAGTAGCTGTCATTAAAGGAGAGATAGCTTAATAGTTAAAGTAACAACTATCCCTTGACTTAATAAATTATTAATTTGAAGTAAGGAAGTGATCATGTCGGGAGAAGAAGGTAGCTCTATACTAGGAATAGGGATTTTGAAGTCAAGATTTCTTATTTGAGTTTGGTATTTTATGAGGGTAAGATCGTATCAAAATATAAACAAAAAATAACAAATGAAAAAACTAAAACCGATTTAGATGGTCGAGTCCCTACTTTATTCCATCCCTTGAATGAGGGTGGGATGCAATCAGAGACTCAAATCTACTTCTAGAATTGGTCAAGTCCCTATTTTTTTCTTGACCTAAAAGGTAGACGGTTAAGAATAAGGGACTTGAGGGAACAAACAAGGATGCTACCTTCTTCTTTTCCCCTTAGGAGGTTAGATGTGATCAGTTTTAACTCTATTACCTTTCGATAATATGGTTTTCTCTTTCAAGTTTCTTTTATCTTTACTAATCTTATATATATATATATAATCATTTCAAATATCAATTCTATTATTCTTAACAGTTTTCTTTGTCAAGAGAATTCTCTTTTTATCAATGTACTTCATACAATATGTGTCTAAAAAAAAAGGTTCATATAATTTTGACTGACAAAAAAACTTTATACAATAACATTATATTATTTCCCATTTTAAAATATGCATAAGGAAATGTTTAGTATTTACTTTTTTTTTAACAACATCCACTTTAAAAGGAATGACATACAATATTTAAAAATAAGGATATATTAATATATTCAAATTCAAATTATAATTATTTGAGTCAATTAAAAATTAACTACTACAAATTATTGTCATTTTAATATATCAAAAATATAGATAAACATGTTAATATTAATACAATAGAATAGGAAGAAAGAATAATGAACATTGTAATAATAACATATGAAAGAGTAAAAGTAATAGTTTTCATGTTAAATTAAAAACTTGTCCTCTAAAACAACCAATTTTGTTTTATAGGATTCTTAGAAAATATAAATATAAATGTCAAAAAGATATTATGCATGCATTTTTCATAACCAATAAGAAAAATATTAGTTTAAACTTCAAAAATATAAAAATACAAAGAAGTACTTACATCACATTTGCTTTAGTAATGAAAATGAAACTAAAAGGTCAAATTATACACTAGATCTTTATATTTTAGTTAAATGGTAGAATTAGTTCCTTTTATTTTAATATTTTCAAGTAAGATTCATATACTTCAATTAATTATCGAATTTAATTAAATTACTAAGGATTCAAAATTTTTTCGTTAAAATTGATGATATGACATTTTAACTTTTTTGATATGACATTTTTGCTTATGTGATCATTAACTTTGTTGACATATCAAGTCCATTTGGTCAAAGACGATGATGCGAAAATTTTTTTGGCATGTTATCATTTTTTCGTGTCTTAAATTCTACAATTCATCATTATAGTTTGGTTAAATGGTGAATTAATCCTTCTACTTTAATGTATGTTCAAATTTAATCCATATATATCAATTAATTATCGAATTTAAGATTTGACTTAAAATAACATATAAAAACATAAATTATTAATTTGACGAACTTTTTTTTCATATTTAGATAATTTTTTTGAATATTTGAATTATTAATTAGATTTAATTTGACAAATTAAGTCAAATTAGATTATAAGCCCAATATAAACTGAATTATATCTTCTCTTTATCATTTTTTTTATTTATTTTGATTTTATTTATTCATTTTTTGTTAATTTCTATTTTTGATATTTTTGAAATATAAAAAATAAAAAATAGATAAAAATAAAAAATTTTAAAAATGACAAAAACATAAAAGTTAGGTCAAGAAACCCATAATCAACAAATCCAACAAACTTAGATACACAATCAACAATAAAAGTACTTGTAGACATTTTATTTTATCTGAAACTTTTTTCGACATTAAATGAGTTTTAAATTTCATCTCGACATTGAGTTCTAAAATCGTTTTTGTATCAATTGAGCTTAATTGTGAAATTGTATTTTAAATCCAAATTTAAAGGCCAAAAAGTATTTTATTTATTATTTATTAATTTATTTTTATTGTTTGACAAAGTCAAAAAAAGCAAAAAAAAAAATAAATAATTAAAAAAAACAAAGAAAATATGAAAAATTTTTTTGGAAAGATTGATTTAGAAAAAATTTGAGAATTCAATAATAATCGACAAGATAACATAGCAAAAACAAAGACAATCAACAAAAATAATTATAAGCAAATTTTCAATTGAGAAATTTTTTTGAGAGGTTTTAGATTTAAAATTTTTAGGATATTATGTTTAGTTTTGCTTTGGATGATGATATAAAACGGTGGTGTTAATGATCGATTTTTAGGTATTAACGATTTTTGGGATAAATTTTTCTACAATCGTTAAATTTTTCGATCATTGGTTTGTAGAAATCTTATTATAATATGAGTTTGTTGAATGAGATTTGTAAAGAGAAGCAAAAGGAAATTAGGATAAGAAAGAGGGGAAAATAGGGAAAATTAAAAAAAATGATTTTTTGTTTTTATAACAAGTTGAAACAACGCTGTTTTAAAAGATGGATTTAGAGCAATTTATGTGTTGACCTATGTATTAACTCTGTTTCGACTTAACTTATTTGTATTGAAAAGTTCTTTTGTGTTTTATTTTAGTTTTATTTTACTTATTTTAGGTTAAATATTAAATTCGATAATTAATTGATATGTAAAGATCAAATTTGAACACATAATAAGGTAAAAGGATTAATTTCACTATTTAATCAAAGTATGAGAACAAGTGGTACAATTTGAAAAAAGTTGATATGAAAAATGTTGATGTGGCCAAATTTATTGTCACTTCATCATTTTTTACCACGTGAATTTGATGTGTTAGTAAAGTCAACGATCACGTAAGTAAAAAATCAAGTCAAAAAAGTCAAAATACTATATTATCAATTTTAACAAAAAAAAATTTAATTCGTTAACCATTTGATTAAATTTAATAATTTATTAAAATATAAGATTCAATTTGAGCATATTAAGATAAATGAGCTAATTCTAATATTTGATAAAATAAGGGGATCGAGCAAACTAAATTTGTTAAAATATACTACCATACAACAAATATAGTGCTTTAAAAAAATGTTTTTTAAATATAATGAATTAAGTCATTAATTACAAATAAAAGTGTATTAAGTGAATTATGGTCAAAATTTTAAAATGTTGGAGAGGGAATATATTATAAATAAATGCATATAATTTAAGGTTGAAAATTAAGTTAGAGTTTTTTATATTAATTAGGTGTGATATTAATTTGTAAAATTTTCAAGAGGTTGACCAACCAGAAGCTTATTGATCGTCTATCAATCAACATAATGTCATCCCTATTTTAAGCGTGTAATAATTGCGTTGAATTAATTTGATTATTTTTTACTAATCAATAAAAATAAAAAAAATATAATCAAGATAGTAGATATAAAGACAAAAAAACGGAATTTGTGATTAATACAAGAAAATTGCCTTCAAACTTAATTTTTAAGATTTGTAGAAACTCTTATTAATAGTAGTTACTGTATACATATATATAATAGGTAAGTTATTTTAAAATTTAACAAAAATAAATATAATTAATATTTTAAAATATTTTAAATTTATATAATTAAATATAAAACATATGCGATTGTTTAAACTTTAAACCATTCACATGATAAAAAATTAAATTGTCCAAATTGAATTTTTTTCATTTTTTTTCAAACATTTTAATTTTTATATATTTATATAAGATTTTTATATGTATTTTTTAATATATATAAGTGTATTTTTAAGATGTGGCTATAGGATGTGGGTGGCAAAAGAAAATATTTATTCTTCTGTATCATAAAAAGTTTAAAAATAAGTTTTAATATATATATATAAATATTTATTATATTTTTTTCATGATTAAAGAATAATAATTAAAAAATTTAATATGTAAAATCAATGAAAAATATATAATTAATTGACAATTACAAATTAATAAAAGTTCAAAACTTTATGTTTATTGATAAAGATTAGAGAAGAAAGAATATTAAAATGAATTAATTATAAAGTATAACTGATATAAAATATAGATTTTTACTTTTATTTCTTAGAGTTATTGATGTTTATATATTATAAGTTAATTATATATATTTTTATTAAATATACATATAATATGTTTTGATTGTACATATTATAATTTTATATTTAATTAAATATTATATAAAAATAATTATAATTTCTTCTTTATTAATTTTAAATACTAACATTTTATTAATTATTTTTATCATAAAATTAATTGATAAATAATTTTATGACAACATATTATAATTTCTATGAAAAGAAAAATATCACAAATGGCTGAATCTGTTGTCACTGCTGCCGTAAAAGTTACACCGTCCAAGGCCATCTCCCTTCTTGAAAAGCAGATCAACCTTCCACGGGGTTTCAAGGACGAGCTGAATAGGCTTCGTGACTCACCATTACTCATGCTTTTCTACATGATGCAGAGACGAGGCATGTTGATGATGTGCCTGTTCAAGTATGGTTGAAGCAGCTTAGAAAAATTGCTTGTGAGGCGGATGATGTATTGGATGAGCTTGCTTATGAAGATCTTCGAATGAAGGTTGAAACCCAAATTAGAAAGAAGGTCTGCAACTTCTTTTCCATCTCCAAAAATTCCATTGTATTTTGTTTCAAGATGCCTCTAACAGTTAAGGGTATTAACATATCCCTTCATCAGATTAATGATCGAGCACTTAAGTTTGGACTCCAGCAAAGAGTTCAAACTCTGCCTCCATTGTCTAGAGGGAGCGAAGCCACCACCCACTCCTTTGGTGACTTGTCTCAAGTTGTAGGAAGAAAAGCTGATGGCTCAAAAATCATTGATTTGTTGATTGGCTCAAGCACTCGACAAATCGTTTCCATCATATCTATAGTGGGTATGGGGGGTATAGGCAAAACCACTTTAGCAAAATCAGTTTGCAACAATGAGCAAACAAAGAATCATTTTAATAAAATAATGTGGGTGTCTGTGTCTGAAAATTTTGATGTTTAAAGGATATTACAGAGATGTTGAATCTCTTACTGGGCAGACTTGTGACATGAAAAAAAGGGGTGCTGTACTTGAAAAAAATACAGAAAGAGTTAGAGGGCAAACCTACCTTCTCGCACTTGATGATGTCTGGGATGAGGATTTTAAAACTTGGGAGGACTTAAGGGGTAGTTTGCTGGGAATAAATGAAAATAAACGAAGTAGCATTCTTGTCACAACTCGTAATGAAATGTAGCAGTGGTAAGGGAAACACCTCATGAAAATAGGTATCATCTTATGAACCTGATAGATGACGAGTGTTGGGCTATAATAAAACATAGGGCATTCCAAAACTCTTCAGTATCTCCGGAATTGGAAGGGATATTGCTAGTAAATGTGCAGGTGTGCCGTTGGTTGCAACTGTTATAGGAGGAACAATGTGTAACAAATGTGATATACATGCGTGGGTGTCACTCAGGGATAGTTCTCTTTGGGTTTCTTTGGAAAAGAATGAAGGGATCGTACGTGTTTTGAAATTAAGTTTTGATTGCTTGCCTTCCCCATCTTTAAAGCAGTGTTTTGCATATTGTTAAATTTTTCCTAAGGATTTTAGGATCCAAAAGGAGCAAATGATCGAGCTTTGGATGGCTGAAGGCTTTCTTCAACAAGCTAAAGGAAATACCCAGCTGGCATCTGAGGATATTGGTAATGAGTGCTTCAATGACTTATTATCAAATTCTTTATTGCAAGATGTGGAATGGGACTTGCATAGAAGCTTTATAGGTTGCAAGATGCATGATTTAGTACATGATCTTGCAGAATCCATAAGAAATTCAGAAATCAATAATACTTCTCTGTCGCACTCTTTGTTTTTAAAGTCTAGCTTCTTCCACAACAAAGCGGACTTCAAAGGCTTATGGGTTCTTAATTTTTGTGATGCTGATATTTCCTCCTCGTCGGTGTCAATTAGTAGGTTAAAGCATTTGAGATAGTTTGATATCTCAAATACTTGCATAGATAGACTACCTAAATCCATTACTCAGCTGTACCATTTGCAGACATTAAGATCGTTGAGGTGCCGTTCTCTTGGGAAACTTCCTAAAGGAATGAAAAATTTAGTTAGCTTGAGGCATTTACATATCAATAATACAAGTCATGTCCCTGATGAGATCAGATGTCTAATGAGTCTTCACACTTTGCCAATATTTGATGTGGGTACAAGAAGGAGATGTGGAATTGGGGACTTGGGATGTTTAAGTGAACTTGGAGGAGAGTTGGCCATATCAAATGTCGAGAATGCTAGAAACAAAGAAGAAGCCCAAGGAGCAAAAATGTAGGAGAAGAAGAAATTACACAAGCTGAAATTCCATTGGAAGTCAGGGAGGGAAGGCTACAGTAACGATGAGGAAGTATTGGAAGGACTGGAGCCTTACCCAAATTTGAAAAGCTTAACTAGTGAGAATGATAATGGGAAGTACAGTTCATCACGGCTGGTAAGGAATATTGTTAGTGGTCCATTTGCTTCTTTTCAACCCATCAATTTGGTGGATTTGAATCTATTCCATTGTGAGAATTTGAAAAAACTTCCAACTCTTGGGCAATATCCCAATCTCAGATTTCTTAGAATCTGTGATTTAAATAATGTGACGTACACAGGAAATGAATTTTATGTGAATAGTAATAACAATAGTTGTGATAGTGGTGATAAGAATAAGCCTAACACATTGTTTCCAGCATTGGAAAAATTCACCTTATTGACCATGAAAGAAGTAAAAGAATGGTTAGACATAGAGCCAGTGGTTCTCATGCTTCCTTCAATAAAGAGTTGCTAATTGAAGATTGTTGCAACCTAAGCAGTGTTCCAATAATGAGTAGGCTTTCTTCTCTTGAGACACTCACTATTAGATCCTGTGATGATTTAAGTTATAGGTGATGGACTGTTTCCTTCCAGTCTCAAACAATTAGAAATATACGGGTGTGGGAACTTGATCTCCATTCCAAGTGTAGAGGGTGGTATCTCTTTTCTTGCAGAGCTTGATGTGAGCTGTTGTTATGAATTAAGTAAAATAGAAGAGGGACTGCTTGCCTCCACATGTCTAAGAGATGTATGCATACGTATATGTCCCAATTTGACATCCATTCCTCTAAACCGCGGATCTGAATCTCTTTTGAAGCTTGAATTAGAAAGTTATAAATTACGAGAGATAAAGGGTGGACTATCTGCATGCACGAGGCTGGAAAATTTATTGATATGTAACTGTCCTAATCTGATTTCCATTCCCAATTTAGATGGCTTCTCCTCTCTTTTAAGCTTAAGGCCGGAAAGATGTGAAGGATTAACAAGTCTACCAAGTGGATTGCGAACCTGTACTTCTCTTGAGGAATTGTCAATAGTCTATTGCAGTAATCTCAAGTCAATTCCAGAAGATGTAGGCCAATTGCATTCTCTCAACTATTTGCGTATGCGTAATTGTCAAAACTTGAAGAGCATTCCAGAGGAAAGCCTTGGTTGCCTCACCCATTTAAAGACATTGGAATTGGGTCCCTTGTTAAAAGAGCTAGAGGAATTCCCAGGTCTCAGGTCCATCCACCACCTCCACTCTTCCCTTGAACCTTTGGCCTTAAAGGGATGGGAAAATCTAAGCTCTCTGCCAGATCAACTTCAACTCCTCACTGCACTTAACGAATTATCAATTCCGAACTTTAGTGGAGTGAAAGCTTTGCCAGAGTGGTTGGGAAACTTCTCCTCTCTTCGATCTTTATATATTAGGGATTGTGAAAATCTGGGGTATCCTCCATCTAATGAAGCCATGCAATGCCTCTCCAATTTGCACTATCTTTCGATCTCTGGTTGTCTGCGATCAAAGGAAAACTGAGCCGAGCAGTCCAACATCTCCCACATTCCAAAAATCCACATTTATTAAAATGGAGTGTGAGGCTTTGAAGAGGTAGCTTTAATTTTCTTATGCTTTAATCTTCTACCCTTATCATTTCACTTAACAATTCTTTCTTTTCAACCTGCAGCTCCTAATTTATTCATTATTTACTTAATTTTATTGTATTTTTTTTCTTCATTAGTTTCTGGAATGGTTTTGCATATATTTTTTAAATAAATATATCAGTATATTTACCAACTATAAGCACCAATAAAGACTGAATTTTTAATGCAAAATGTAAGTTCAAGCTTACTTGTCTTTTCTTTGCTGTTATTTCAATCTTGGTTTCTTTTGGCTTAAGCTTTACTTTGCATAATTTTCTAAAATATGGGCCTGTAAATTTGCCAACCATCAATAATAGAAAACTGTGCTCAGGTTTCTATTTTTTCTTTTTCATAAATTGTATGACAATCTCATTCTGTCATTGGCCCATATAATAAGCATTTACTTTCGCATATAATTGTCCCTGTTTTTGCTAGAAATTTTACAAAATTGTAACTCTATTTTTGCATCTAGTTATCCTGGCAATTCCTTTGGGGAACTTGGCTTATTGTATGTAGTTTACTTTATCTGAATTACAAAAATTGGTAACTTTGCACAGTTTGGTTTTGAATGAGGAACAGCAGCCAAATGGGGACCAATGTGGCATCTAAAACTGATGAAATCACACAGCAAAAGAGCTTTCGTACCATGAATTTGGGTAAGTTACATTTTTTTGTGTCTTTTTGTTTGAAAGGCAAGAAGGATTTTTACTAATACAGAAGATGCATCAATCAAAACAAGGAATGATCATCATCAGTCCATAACTTTAACCCATAAATGTTCCAAACTCACGAGCTCCTTTAAATCTTTTTAATGTCAAAACAAGGAATTTTTTATATTCAATTGCACTAACCTCAAGCCAATTCCAGAAGATGTAGGCCAATTGCATTCTCTTCAGGATATGAGTAATCACGCATTGTCAAAACTTGAAGAAGTTTCCAGACTAGACCCTTGGCTGTCTCACCTGTTTGAAGACATTAAAATTGTTTCCTATCTCAGAAGAGCTAGAGGAATTCCAGGTCTCAGTTCCATTCACCACCTCCACTCTTACCTTGAAGATTTGACCTTAGTTGGATGGGAAAAACTAAGCTTTCTGCCAGAGCAACATCAACACCTCACCGCGCTTAACAAATTCTGGCTTCAGAATTTTGGTGGAGTGAAAGCTTTGCCAGAGTGGTTAAGAAACTTCTCCTCTCTTCGATCTTGACATATTTGGCATTGTGAAAATCTAGGGTATCTGCCATCTAAGGAAGCCTTGCAACACCTCTCCAATTTGCAGGAGCTTTATATTGCTGATTGTCCACGATTAAAGGAAACCCGCTTCAAGCAGTCCTAGATCTCCCACATTCCAAATATCAAGATTTATTAAATTGGAGTGTGTAGCTTCCAGGAGGTAGTTTTAATCTTCTACCATTATCATTTCACTCAACACCTCGTATTTAATCTGCAGCTCATCTTTGTTTTTTTCTCCTCCTATTTCTTTCATTATTTACTTCATTTTATTGTATTCTTATTCATGGGTTTTTGGAATGATTTTGCAAATGAGTATATTTACCAACTCTAAGTAGCAATCAAGATCGACTTTTCATTACCAAATTTAAGTTCAAGTTTACTTGTCTTTTCTTTCCTTCTATTTCAAATTTTTTTGGCTTAAGCTTTATTTTGCATAAAATTTTTAAACTATGAGTCTGTAATTTTGCAAACTCTGATATGCCTATATTTCCATCTAGTTATCCTGGCAATTCCTGAAGTAAATTATGGATATTTCACTGTATCTTAATAACGAAAATTGATGACTTTCCTTTTACAGTTTAGTTTTGAATGAAAAATCCAGTTGATCAAATGGGGACCAATGTAGCATCTAAAATCAAATCACGCTACTCAAGAGCTTTGTCCTTAGGTTTCACACCTTGAATTTGGGTAAGTTACATTTTTTTTTGTATGCATTCAATTTTAATGAAACTGTCATTTGCATTATTTATTTGATTAGTATTTGAGCCTTCTTGTTTTCCATCCCTTAAGAATTTGTCACTTCTTGTTATATTGAAATCATGATACAGATCAACTTAATACAATGTGTAAAAGTTTTCCCCCTTCTTCAAACTTTGAAAAATATGGTCACAGATCATCGAGGAATTTCCATTTTCATGTTCATTTCTACACATGCTATTCATTCTTCACTGTATGTGTGCTATTTAAAAGTTTGAATTTACTGTTGGAACTTAGAGCCTTTACTGGCTTGTTTATATTATACTTTAATTTGGTTAAAACCATTCCACTGAACCTCGCTGGTTTATATGCAATACTGAAATTTTAAGATGATACTTTGGCAGAAGAATGCACCAGAGAGTTGGATATTTATTCAACACTGAATTTGATAGATCAGAAATTCAAAATGATTTTGAAGTTTTGCCCAGCAGGGGTTCAGGAACTCCCAGGTCTCAGTTTCATCCACCACCTCCACTCTTCCCTTTGAACACTTGAGATTGAATGGATGGGAAAAACTAAGCTCTCTGCCACATCAACTTCAACTCCTCACTGCACTTAAGGAATTACCAATATCAAACTTCAGAAAATTTAAAGCTTTGTTATAGTGGATGGAATGTAAGAATCTAATGCGACTGCAATCTAAGGAAGCTGTGCAATACCTCTCTAATTTGCAAACGGAAGGCTTTGCTTGTTAAGAAGGATGGAAAGAGATAAGAATGGAAAACTTTTTAATCCAATGGTTAAAATTCATAGCTACTTTCCTATTTTATAGCTTAACCATTAGATTAACAATTTTTTCATCTTTATCCCTTTCCCTCCTCTCTATCAAGCAAAGCTTAAATGTTTTAGGTTGTCCTCAATTAAACCAAAGCTAGTGAGTTCCTCAATTTTTTTACCTGTTTTTCCTTGATCAGAAAACCTTTTGTTTAAAAGTCATCTTCTTTTCCAGATACATTAATTGTATTTTCATTTGTTTAATTGTTGTGCCATGCTATAATCGAAAGGAGCTGAGATGCAGCATTGCATCTTACCTTAATATTGGTAAAAGCAATCATAAGGTAGTCTATTATGTACCTTATTGTCTATTTGAAATAATGGCAATAATAACTAGGATATGATTGACAAGTGTCCTTACTTGATGGAAATATGCCCTAAGAAATGTAGTTAATTCAATTATTATGCATATTTTCCTTTAACTGAATGAGAACATTTTAATAATTTGCTTATAGCATATTGATATTGCTTATGCATATTTTTCATCAGATGGTGATTTAGCTAGACAATGGTTTGGATGGAACCAGTTTCCCAATCCTAGCTTGCTGGAATACATATATGATAAAGTGAGTTAACTCTGTATAATTTATATATATATAAACATTTTCGTTTTCATTTTGAGCCGTTGTACTTATCACTGTTCAATATAACCAACATGACCTTTGACACCTCTAAGGTCTGTTTCAGTCTGTCACTATTTAATATGAGACATTTAACATGATCAATAGGTTTGTTTCCGTAGCACAACACCCAGGATTCAGATGCTTAGTCAAGAAGGGCAAAGAATTTTGATGATCCCAGTAAGTCTTTTACTACCTTTTGTTTTACTGGTAATCACCATGCTCAAAATTGTTTTCCACAATGACATACTATTATGCATGTGTGTGGATCTCAATGGTTGAGAAATATGATTGCTTGACCAACTCATATTTGTTAATTGTGAAGGAGTGATACTAGCTTGATTCCATGCTAAGCAAGATGGTCGTGCATATTGTTTGTAGGACCAGAGGTTTAATCTATGTCTTGAACAGGTCCTTCACTTTACGTGTGGAAAGTGGAAAGTGGAAACTCTTCTGAGGCTCAATATGTCTGATTCATAGAACAGTTTCTGCATACTAAAACCTAGCTTCTGACTGTAAAGATCATAGAATTAAAATGGTATTGAACATTGTGCATTTTGTTTTTATTGTATGTTTCTCTTTCAATTTCTCTTGTTTTAACCATCTTTCTCCCTCATGCAGACACCAGGAGCTCATGCCGCTTCTTGATGGTAAGCCTTGCTTTGCTATTTCCATTGTCTTTTCTTTCAGTTTGGAGGAGCTATAAATTATTCTTTGCCTGGATGGAGCTTTTGAAGTACCCGAGCTGAAATATGAAACTGATCTATGTGTTTTTTGAACTATTTAAGCATTATGACTTGGCATGTAGTGACATCCATTTTTGATACAAAGTGATTCACCTGCAAAGAAGCACGAGTATTGGTGTGTTCTTAGAGGAGCTGAATTCTATCATGAAATCAGGGGATGTCCCATATCTGGATCTGAAAAACACAAAGTCATGCCATCAGTTGGTTTCAGAGAAGCTACAAATTCTATCCCCAAATCAGGGGATGTCCAGTATCATGTTCCTTTTGATCTACTCCTATCCAGCTGGCCAAATCTCAAGTTCTCAACTCTTCCAAGTCTCTGCCTCCGATAGACACTAGCAGTTGGAAACCTTCATCTTCAAAGGCCTTCTTTCGAAAGTTGCAATCAAGTCGATCAAAGCTAGTCTACACGCAGTGAGAGCATCAGGCATCTCGCCAACACTGATTCCGTGTCCCTTGGAAAGGAAACTTGCAATAAGGAAAAGTTAACAACAGCAGGAACACGTTATCTTCTTTGCTGCTGATAAGAATGAACTAATCTCCACAGCTTGAGAGCTCCCTTTCTTTTTGATGCTGATAAATAGTTCCAAATCAAACTGATTTTATCCTTCTATTCGGAGCTTGTTCATATGATCTGACTGAGTAATCTAAATCTAAGGAATTAAAATATGTTTCTCTTTTGTCAGTTATTCCGAATACTCAAATGTTGGAACAAGAAATGGTAGAATTGAAAGAAAACTCTTGTAAATTATTTCAGAAGGCAGGGCTTAATATATTTATTTATTTATTTTCCTTTGCAGCCACGACCCACCTCCTCTCTTCTTCCCCTGTTTTCTATTCACGCTGGTTTCCATTTCAATCCTATCCACTACTTTATTCCTTTTCCGGCATCTTGCCGCCAGGCGCTGCGCTGCTCCATCTTTTCTCTTCGTTCAATGTTCGGCCACCAGTTGATTAAATTCTAGAATTGGATTTGATTTGGATGGTTTATTGCTCGTCATGTATGTACTTTTAGGGAGTTATTATTATACAACTTTATTGGAAAAATGGTTTCTAGTTGATTATCCATGAACAGGAGGAAAGAAAGGAAATGCAGAGGACACAATCTATCATCTAGGAATGGAGATTTAAATTGGGTAATTCTATTTGAAATTTGACAGCAGACATTTGCAGCTCTTTTTTCCTTGGTATTGAGGTTGCCGGGTTTTGATTTAAAACTAATATCTAAAATTAAGAGTTAAACACTTTATTAACAAACCATTCGAAGCTGATCACACTTGCAGCTTTCAATTAGTAACAGGGCCTAAAATGGATATTAGAATATAGCATTTTCCAGCATCAAGGTCTTCTACCTTTTTTTTTTCTATTAGAATATAAAATTTCATAGATGTAATTCTTCATTATTGAACAAGAAATTCCCAAAATAAATGGAAAATCTAGTAAGTTGCTTATATTATAATAAGGTAGTACAAATTTCCCTCTCTGAAAGGCATTTACATTTTCCAGGTTTGATAATCTAAGACCACTATTCAGATGGTGATTGCCCATCAATAGGTTTTCCTTTCTCCCTCATCTTGGAAATTTCTTGTTTCATTGCTTCCTTCCTCTTCTTGCTAGCTAGTACTTTTGCCTGCACACCACTCACATTGGGGTCTTTTTTCTCCGCCGGCGGAGGCGGTGGAGGCTTTCTAGCTGCATGTGCGTTCCTCGGGTCACCAACATTCAAGCCTAGCACTGCACCTGCCAAGCTCAATGTCACAGTCCTGCACCAGAGAATCCCCACAACACAATGTTGCATTGTTTGCATCAAATCCTACTGAAGAAAATTCGATATCTACATATCCGTCTTTGCAATTATTTTGACCATCATCTGAAGAATTCATATCAGATGATCTTTTCACAAGAAATCTTGGTTTCAAAGCTAAAAATGAAGGATTAAACCCAAGCATCGAACCCTTTTATGATTATGTAAAATTTTCGAACTTGGGCATATTTTAGATACATACATACAATCATATATTTTTTTTTATACAGCAAAAGGGTTTTAATATACAAACCTGCGATGAACAAGTTTATCATCCAAGACTTGATTGGGTTTCTGGCAGGAAGCCCACACACTGTGCAGTCCTAGAGTAGGAATGTGAGATCTAATCTTCTTTGATTTGGCAATGTGTGTTGTTGCACTGCCTGGAACAGGAGTTAGTGAATGTGCCATTGACTCTATCACAAGTCACAACCTCGGAGGGTTGTTTGAATTCAAATAAAAAATTAGACAACATTTTTGTTTTTGGAAGTCAAATTGTGATGTAGAATGTGACTGGGTGGATTATGGATAGAGTTTGCAGGTTTGGATGTAAACAGAAATGAAAATTCATTGGTTCGGACTCGATAAGGTTCTTTTTGTGTGGACCGTTTTATGGGCTTTGATATCTTTGTATCGTTCATTCAAGGGACTACTATAAAGATTTATGTATATTTATTTCGTATTCATCATATGTAAATAAGCAAGAATTGATATAATTTATGTCAATACATTATAAATTTTGTTAAATTTATATATAATTTTTATTAAAATTTTAAATCATTAAATTTTACTAAAATTTTAAATTATATTATTTTTATTATAATATAAAATAAAAATAATAAAAATAAGTAATTTAGGCTTTCGTACTTTGAGATCAGCATCCTACATTCAATCCTCCCTCATTCAATCCTCTTCCTCTTTAACCAACACCTACTGCAGCGTTAAGAATGTGTAACCGTTCAATCAACTTAGCTTTCCTTTCCTCTTAACTCAGCTTCTTCAAGCTGAATCTGCACAATAAAATTCATGAACACAGTAAGATATACACAAAGAAACTTCAACAAATACAAGTTTCATAGCATCTAATCCAAAGTCACACACAGCACACAACAACCAAGCTCTTGTGCTGCCATTAGGAGGCTTCTTTTCAGACTTGTTTGCAGTTGGGTCGGCGCGGATTATCTGCCTCCATTCCTTTCTTAATATGCTCACTAATGTGAGACTGATATTTCTCTGATTCATCTTCTATCAAAATCTACAAAATAATCATGTCCATTCATCCATTCAAACTATAAATTTTGCTACTTTTTACTCTACATGGACCCGTCACTTTGCACTTTCCTGCTTTTTTTTTTTTTTTTTGCATTTTACTTTTTTCCTTTTTTATTTTAATTTAATTTTTCTTTTCATTTTTTCTCTATATATTTAATAAAATTTTTATATATTAAAAAATCATGTAGGACTCATTTGATTTTATTGATTACAAAAATATTTTTTAATTTTTAAATTAAATAATTTTATAAAAAAAAGATTTGATAGAAGTGTTGACATATAATCTCAATTTATTTTTTTTTAATTTTCTGCTTTTTATAGGTTTTGTTTTTATATCCGATCTAAAAAGTGCATTTTTTTTAAATTAAGGATTAGGTCAAAGTTTTTTATTTTTTATTTTTTAAAAAATGGGATTAGGTCGGAAGCAGTCTTGAGTGTTTCATCCACTCCAAGTATATGTAAAAAATATATATTTAATTATTCATTTGATTATATGCATATTATATTAATAAAATTATTATGTAATACTTTAACTTAATAAATTAAGGTGTATATATATATATATATATATATAACAACTTATATTTAATAAATTTCGATTTGTCTCGATTTAATAAGTGCATTTCTTTTTTTTAAAATTTGGATATGGTTAAGTTTTTTTTGTGAAAATCAGGTTCAAGTTAGAAGCATGTTTAGGGTGTTGCACCCCACTTTAGGTATATATAAAAATATATATTTTATTATTTATTTAATTTTATATTTATATATGTATTATATTAGTAAAGTTATTATTTAATACCTTAATTTAATAAAAAATTATTATATTTATATTTATATTGTAGACACTCCATTTTATCCAATATTCAATGAATTTTAAATTTTATTTCGATAATAAGTTGTAAAATTGTTCAATCAAACTTTAATTTATAAAACTAGACCCTAAAGTGCTTTTTAATTTATTTATATTATTTTCTTTCTTTCTTTCTTTTTATTTGGTAAAGAAATTAATATAACTTTTTATTTTTTTAAAGGTTGTGATTTATTTAGATTTGAAATTTAAAGGTTGAGATTGATTTTGGTAATACTTAAGAGTAAAGTTTATACAAGAAAGAAAATAAATTTTGACAAGATCTTAATATATTCGATTGGTATTAAAATTTTTTAAAGGAATTCAATCCTTATATAAAGAGCTCAATTTCGAGTTAAAAAAGAACAAGAAGCAACACAATAGTAATTATCAAGCAATTAACACAGCAAATTGAGCAAATGCAAAGCTTTGAGTTTTGAGAATGAAGCTATTTGGCAAAAAGGCAAAAAATCAATAAGCAATTGGAAGGAGAGATCACAAGAATAATCAACAAGGCAATAAGCAATTGAGAAATTAACAACAATCAAGAATAATCACAAAGCACAAAAAAAAAAAAGAGTCATATACATAACATTAAATTAAAAAAAATCAAACAATTTTTTTTTTTAGCAGTAAGCTTTATTCTGGATTGGTCTAAGAGTATTGGTTAGATACAGTTTTTTTTTATTTATTATGGTGTTATATTTAATTGTTATCTAATATGGTTTGGGGTAATATTTGTGATAATAATTCTTTTATGAAATTATTTTATTTTGCTAGTTTTTTTACTTATTTACTTAATTATATTTTATATTTATTTATTCATTATTTATTTATTTAGGTTTTATTTTTTTACCTATTGATTTATTTAATTGATGAAAATAAAAATTGAATTATATTTTTTAAAAAGTGTAAATATATTATGATTAGAAAGTTGTAAATATGTTTGTATCATTATTTATAAATAATGTTTGTGAATAAATAAAAAGAATGTAAATATATATTTTTCATAAAATATTTAAGTCGACAACAAAACTTTTTTAAGTAAATAACGAGTTTATCTTAAATACTCTTGAGATGAAAAAAAAATTTTTTTAGTAGAAAGAAGTGGAGGGATATTACTACCCAAGTTCAATCACCACTTACTAAAAAATATACTATAATTCCATTTCTCAATACCCTCAAAGCTTTATATTATGAAAAGATGATTGAAAATGCCACAAAAATTTTGGCTGACATGGTTATTTTAGAGAGATAATAAAAAATACTGTCAAGAATAGCAAGCTTGAAAGTGATTATGCAACTAATACAAAAAAAAGGGATTATATTGAAGAAGAAAGAAAGAGATGCTAAAGTTGTAACTTATGAGGGGCAACAAGTTAGAGGTTTTACCCATTCCACTAGTACCCAATATATTTATTTCACTTCCCTTCTATAATAATGTCTCATCAAGCCTTTATCCCTATTAGCAAGTGTCAACCCTAGCTTTTCACCTAACTTTTTATCCCCAAACACCTATTTATGTGCCTAGCCTTATCACTACACTAGCTGCAATACCAATTTCAAGAACTATTGAGCAGCAAATGGTTAGAAGAGACCTTGAAACAATTAAGGAGAGCCTACATTGAACCTATTCCTATGAAAACTATTGAGTTATTCCCAAAATTGGTTAAAAATAACCTAATATCACTAGTGCATTTGCAACCTCTGAAGTTGCCCTATCCCAAATAGTGTGATACCAATGTCACATGTGACTATCATAATGGGAATGCAAGCCATTCCATAGAAAATTGCCTTGGTTTAAACCATAAAGTGAAAAGTTTGATCAAAGCAAGTTTGGTGAGTTTTAAGAAGCCAACAAGGCCAAATGTTACTGAAAATTGTTTGTCAACCACACAGGGGTATAACTTTAAAAGTCTTTTATGAATGCCTATTACTTTAGACATTTTAGGAAACAATGCAAGTCTTTAAATACTTATGAACATGTGAAAGTTCTTTGATATGTTGGTCTTTTATTTATCTTTCATCATTTCAATAATATAACAAATGCATTTTCATTATATTTACTCTTTCATTCCATTGCTTTTATATATCTTTTCATATTTTATGCATTCAATATTCTACGTAATGATTGTTTAGACAATCATGATGATAATTAAGGATTCAATTTTGAAAGCATCATTCGTATTGGTGAAATTGATAAGATTCTCAATTTATTAGGATTATTAAAGCAAAAAGAAGACAAAGTTTATGGATGAAAGTTAGCCTGGAATTTCACCCATTGAAAGATGAAAGTAAGCCAGTATATAGTCCTTTATGATGGTATTTATAAACTTGCTTTTATTTAATAAATGTTCTTCAATGAGAGTATTCATGTTTGAGATAAGAAATAACCATATTTCTTTTACCTTTCACACAAATAGTAAAATTATCCATTATGAACCCTTTAAGCCTATTATGATTTTTCTTAAAAAAAACCTACCAGAGATCACTTTCCATACTATGAGGTAAATTTTGGAAAAAAAAAGAACTCATTAAAAAAAAAAAATGAAAGTTCCAAATGAACTAAAAAGGAAAAAGAAAAAGTTCTTCTGCATTTGAATCTTTCTTGAAAAAGTAATGAAAAGTGCAAAATGAAAAAGTGAAAAAAATAAAGAAAATGAAAATATGAAAAAAAAAAAACTGATGATGGATGGGGCAAAATACAAGGTGCTTCACATGATGAGAAATGATCATTTGGTTTATAACTTTTCAAATACATTTTGGGTCTATTTTATCCATTTTTTTCATAATCTCTCACCTTAGCCTACATTAGGTACCTTAAAAGTCCATTTTGATTAAATATAAATGGTGATAAATTGAACTAAGGTAGACTTATGATGTTATCAAAATTAGATTATTTGAGATTTTCATGGAGATGTCACTAATGGATGAAGAGAAAAATAAATGAAAAGGAAAAAGATATGCAAAAAAAAAAAAAAGAAAAAATAATACTTAAATTAAAAATCTGAAAGACGATTTACATAAAATGAATATTTGAGTTGAAGAGTCGAAAAATAGTTTTAATTTTGGATCAACGAGCTCAAAAGATTAAAGACACCAATGAATGAGTTTTTGAGAAAAAATTTTGGATGAATTTGTTAAAACTGTTTGAAGATTCATTATATTGGATGTTGTGAACCTTTCCAAACACTTATCTTAGAGATTTACTTTGAAAATTTTCTTTTGTCTTTATGTTCCTTATTAGACTTGTTCTTATAATGAATTTTTGTTTTAAAATTTTCTTTTTGTCCACCATTTTTGTCTTTTCATGATGAATTAAGAAAATTTGATGGATTACATTTGTCATCAAATTGGAAAGATGATGAATGAACAAATGACTGATAGGAAAGATCTTTGTATTCTTTCGAAAAGATAGTTAAAAATGATTGAGATAGATTAAAATAAAATGAGAATAATGAAAGAAGCTTAA